CCGCCGCAGGCTCGGGGGGCGCAGACCCCGGCCGCGGGCTCCCGAGTGGCCCCAGGGTCTGGCAGCTGCCCGGTGACGGCGAGCCCTGCCAGGGCGCCGGGTCTGCACAGCTTCGGGAGGGGAGCTCGGCGGGTCCCGGGTCGCCTGTCTGGTCTCAGCCTGATGTGTTGTTATTTTCCTTTCTGCAGAGCAGGCCCTTGAAATCCACACTGCCTGTGGCTGAAGAGTTGGGTTCAAAGTGCCTGACGGCTGCAGAAAGATTTTGTGTGGTGTGCGGTGGAGAACTGGCGTGTTGTTGTTTTTATTTAAAGCACATCAGATGTGTTTGAATCGATTTAGGGCCAAAGTCAGAAAGTATGAGACTCCTTAAGTGCACTCGAGGGGGAGCGGTTGGAGGGCCAGAGTCGCCTATAAACCTAGCGACTGGCCACAGGGAAAAAAGCTAAATGAACTGTCAGAGGAAGTGCTGGTGTTGACGTTTTCCTTTTGCTTTTGTGCAGGGAGAGTTCTGTGGAAAAATTGGGTACTGATTGCCAGCAAAGTTCGGCTCCCAAATTCTCAGTAGCTGCAAAGCTGGTCCCTTCCCCCATTTCTTAGACGCACTGTTTGGGTTGATACGACTTTATCCTTGAAAAGACTAGTATTGTTTAATTAGAAACGTGGGATGTCGCACCTTTTATTCCAAAGCTGTCTCTCTACGGCAAGCAAGACCAGCATGTACTCTGCACAGGTGCCTTTTGGGTAGGGCGGACAGTCTGAAGGGATGGTTGCAGTGATGTCCGGCGAGGCCGCTGCCTGGGCTGCGGAAGAGGTGGAGGAGCACGCGCCTCATTCATACTTTTCTTCGGCAGCCCGCTTGCCCAGGGTGAATGTTGAATAAGAAAAGCCAAGCTTAGCTCCCGCCTGCCTGCCTGCCCGCTCCTGTTGTCTTGATAGCTGTTGAAGAACCGCGCTGGGAAGTTGGAGAGCAGGATAATGAGAACCAGACCCGGTCGGAGGCGCAGGTTGAAGCAGAATGCTTGCAGGGGTTGGATGGGAACAGGGTGTGTCTGGGATCTGTCTGCACGGGGACCCCAACACCTCCGTGCTGGGGAGCCCCTGGAGCTATTTAAAAGTATCTCATGGCAGACGCCTTCTTGAGCGTCCTCGGGGCCCCAGTCCGGTGCTCTCCTCGCTGTGATCACAGCCCAGGGTAGAGGACTGGCAGCGGAGACAGGAGCCTGCTTGCGGCTTTGGGTGGGTCAAGCCAGCTCTTTGCCCAAAGCGTGAACATTCCGTCGGGATTTCGTGGCATGGCCACTAGAGGGCGCGCTGAGAACGAGAGAGGCGCCTTTCTCAGCTGAATGAAGAATGGGCTCTTATTGTCCAGTCCTTGGTTCGCTTTCCCATTGTGCTCGTAATTTAAGCAAAATCTCGTTTTACTCAGAAATTATGTCAAGATTTTGAAGCAGGCAGCGGGTTCAGGCCCTGAAATTGGCAGTTCCCGGGCTGCTTCGTGTGTCTCCGGGACTGAGCGAGCTCCTCCCGTCTGCACAGATGGGGAGGCAGATGGTACCAGCACTGCAGGAGCAGACGCTGTCAGGTGGAAATTTCCTCCGCCTGGCCAGACCGAAAACAAAAAAATTAATCAGCAGGTTGATCTTGCCCGGTGCCGGGTGACTCGGAATGTGTCAAGGGCAGCACAAATTTTTCATGTAAAGTCTGAGTGTGGAATTTTCTTCTGGTTCCTGCCTTGCAGGAAGCTTTCACAACTTGCGTTTCAGGCCCCACTGAGCAGACTCAGAGAGGGCCGTGGCCGCCCCGGGGTAGGTTTCCGGTGGGGTGTTTTAGTCCCTTTTGCACCTGCTCGTTTTATAGCATCTCTCTGCAAGAGGGTTGGGTGCTGGGTATCAGGCTGCATGAGATGCTGAGAAATCAGCATCCCTGTGGAAGCGGAGGATCTACCTGGAGAGGAGAGACTCAAAAAAACGGGAATGGTGTGGCTTGGAATTGCAAATCGGGGTAGGCTTTCTAAGTAAACACTGGGGTAGAGCATCGCCTTGGTGTCCCGTGAAACACTGGGCTAAGAGTGTGGAGTCTGGGGCGTGGAGCTGCCCCAGGTCCAAGGTTGCTGGGTAAACACTTAAGTGAGACAGGGACTCAGGCTGGCTGGAGATGACTGAGCTCAAGGTGGCGCCTTAGCAGAAAGACCAGGAGCCTGGCGTGCATTCAGTCCTTGACTGATCCTTTGCTGGCTTTGTGACTTAGGCCAGCTATTCGGCTTTGAAACCCCAGCTCTACTAATAATACCAACTTCTTGGAATAAAATAATCTGTAGGAAGTCTCAGAAGGGGAAATGCACCATTTCAGTTTCCCTTTCCAGTGAGCTTTTCTCCCCATCTCATTGAGGATTTGATTTCAATTCTGAGACCACCGGGGAGGCAGGATGCGTTGCACAATTAGCCTTATATTGTGCAGAGAGAGCTACGGGCGCTAATCAGCTTTTCAGGGTAATTAAACTATGATGCTTGGGTAATTAGGGAGGAAGGTGAGATATCAGGCCAATTCAGATAGGACCTGAGTGTGTTTTGAGGTCTTGCATGTGGGCCTGGTTTATTGCACAACCTCTGTTTTGGTGCAGCTTGGAGGGCTTGAGCCTTTGGGTCATTTTAGGACTGTACTTTCCTTGAGCCAGCCCCCTGGGTCGTCAGGCCACACAAAGCATTGCCAAAGAAGCCCACACCACTTTCGGGGCGCAAGGTCACGGGCCACCTCAGTGTCAAAGGCCAAGTTCAGCTTCTCCTTTCACCGGGTTACTTGGACTCGGGGAGGGGCCTGGGCTGGCAGTGGCGGGCCCTGTAGGCAGACCGTGCCCCTGGCCGTCAGAGCGCTAGCTGGAGGGTAATGAGGCACCTTTACTCACCAACCCACAAGATATGCCCGGAAGTGGGTGT